TATATATATCTATATATATATATATCTATATCTATATCTATATATATCTATATCTATATCTATATCTATATATATCTATATCTATATATATATATATATCTATATATATCATAGCTTTACCTTGCTGTTAGAAAGCCATTCTGAAGGGGAATTGAAGCCTTCATTTTGTCCTCATCACCAGACACTTTTTACCTCGCAGAATACAGGAGTTGACTGGTTAGCTGTTTATGTTGTCTGTAAAATTAGCCTTTTTAGTTTCTTTAGATAACGACTTCAGTTCCCCTTTTGAAAGTGCTGTTTTCCGGCAAGGTAAAGCCATGAAACCATTTTAAAATTTAGCATACGCTTAAACTAATATTGATAGTTTTAGGTGTTTTCAATACATTTTGCTGCTGCCCCCGTCCACAGCAGTATATTTCTTTGCTCCCTTGCTGGTATTCTTGTCTGTTTCTCCAAACTCCATCCACTGTAGGTTGGCTCTGGATAAATTCCTCATACTCTTCAAGAAATCCGAACTGGCCCTTTTAAGTTTGGAGAATATTTGCTGCTTTCACAATAAAGGCTTCCAGTGTAGAGGTGCAAAGCAGCTTTCAGCCCACATTGCATCGTTCCCGTGTCAGGGTCTCTAATGTCATATCATTTTAGGGTTTCTGCTAACTTCATGAAATTCATGAATGTTTGTATTTTGTGTTGCATTATGGGTTTGTTGCTATCAACTTTTGGTTTACATGTTTTCACTTCTCTCCTCCCTGATTTGTCCTCTTTTTCATCTGATCTCTCCTCCATCCATCCTGTTATTTAACCTCCCTCATTCCCTCATCTTTCTTTTTAACCATCAAAATCCTCCCTTTCCTCTTACTTTCCCATCTTGTTCTTCACGTTCTCCGCATCTGTTCCTCTTCCCTTCCTCGCTCCCAACATCTGTATTCCCATAACCTCCATATCCATATTTTTTTCCTCCATCCTCTCTTCCCCCCCCCTTCCATTCATGCTCAATCTATCCCCCCCTCTCTTTTTCTGTGTCTGCATCCATCCTGCGCCCCCCCGCCTCCTCTCAGATCACGATAACCCGCGGCGAGGAGTGTGTGCTGGAGGACAACTCTCAGAGGACCAAGTGGAAGGTGATCAGCACGACGGGGAACGAGGCTATGGTCCCCTCGGTGTGTTTCACCGTCCCACCTCCCAACCAGGAGGCCATCGACACAGCCAGCAGGTGAGACGCATGCAAGGAGCACATGTAGTGTTGTTGTGGAAGTAAACAACAGGATAGTGATGGTTGTAAAGTTGGTGATAAGGTGTGGATGTTTTGGTGAGGAATTGGTTTCCAGTTTGTATAATAATGTGTCAGGAAGTGGTAAGAAAACTGTTGTGTGTGTGTGTGTGTGTGTGTGTGTGTGTGTGTGTGTGTGTGTGTGCAGGGCAGAGCAGCTGTACCAGAAGGTCATGTCTCTGTGGCATCAACTGCATGTGAACATGAAGAGTGTGGTGTCCTGGCACTACCTGCTCAAAGATATCCGGACCGTCTCCGGATGGAACCTGGACACGGTGAGGCTGAATTCCATTTGCGATCTGTCCTCTCCTTTTCCAGTCTGTCCCGCTCCCGTCCTCCTACTCACCGTCTCCCTCTTGTGTCTCACCTGTCAGGTTCGCTGTCAGGCCCCGGCAGAGCGGCAGCAGGGTCTGGATCACCTGGAGTCCCAGCTGGCCGACTTCCTGTTCGACAGCAAAGAGAGCTCCGTGTTCACGGCGGCCGAGAGACGAGAGCTGGAGAAGGACGTCCGGCAGGCCCAGCAGCACTGCCAGGACCTGCTGCTCAACATGGAGACCGGTGGGACAAATATGTACTCTCATGGATTCACACATGCCTCCTAAACACTCAGATTAGAAATGCCCAGGGGTGGGATGTAACTAAGTACATTAAGAGGTTCTTTACTTAACTATTTCCTTCTCATGCCACGTAATACTTTTATTCCATTACATCTCAGAAGGGAATATGTGAAAGCAAATGGCTGCAGTGTTACTGTTCAGGTCCCAAAGAACTCCTCTTTCTCTTTTCTCCCTCTCTCCAGTGGAGAAGGACGAGTCGGTCTCCCGTTCGTACCTGTCGGAGCTGCAGAACATCACCCTTCGTCTAAATGAGGCCGAGCAGAGGCTGATGAGGGGGATTCAGACTCCGCCCCCCAGCCGGCTGTCAGGTGACAGCGCTGACAACACTGTCCAGATAGCGGAGCAAGAGGTCAGTTTGAGCCCCATCTGATGGTTGCAACTGGCAATAATTAATATCAGTTACTGTTTCTTGAAAGATGTGAGTTTTTGAACTCTACTTGGACGTTACTCACCCCCCTCATTTCTCATTCTTGTCCAGACGCTGCAGTCGGATCTGGACGCCGTGCGCTCCAGTCTGGGCGCCGTGTCCCGGCGCTGCGTCAGTTTCTTCGAGGAGAAGCCGACGTCCTCCGCTGTTCCCGTCCTCCGGTCTGAACTCAACCAGGCCGTGGAGAAGACGGACCAACTGCACAATCTGTCGACCGTCTACCTCGAAAAGTTCGGGAGCTCTTTCCTCTTTCTATCTATTCATCAACTCAGAAATATACGTGAATGTGTCACTCACACTTTACCTTTAACCTCCTCAGGTTAAAAACAGTGGACATCCTGATGCGTAGCCTGGATGAAGCGGAGAGCCAGGTCAGGAAGAATGAGAGCAGGCTAAGTGAAGAGGACATCGTTCCTGCTGACACGGCGGCCATTCAAAGCCTCAAAGATCAACTAGGGGTAAGGGACACAGTGTCATATAAACTAATACTTCATGTAGTGAAACTATTTGACCGTTGTGCTGCATCGTCTCCGTCTGATCTCTCTCTAGAGACGGCAGGCCCAGCTTGTCGAGCAGGAGGGCGTCTTCCAGGCTCTGCAGTCGGAGGTGGGTCGGGCCAAAGAGGCGGGCTCCCAGCTCAGCAGGCTCCACCCAGACCGCAGCCCCGAGCTGGAGCGCTACCAGGAGAGAGCCAATCAGGTGGCCGAGAGGTGGAGCGGAGTCAAGAGACAGATGGAGACACGGTGAGCGGGACGGGGTGACGATGAGGAAAGAGAGAAGGTTTGGGGAAGAGATGAGTAGGACTAACAGAGGGAGGGTCAGTGTGGTGATTAATAGAGAAGTGTATAATGGCAGAACATGCTACAATATATTGTCTTTTATATAAACATTCTCATACTGGATACACTGCCCTCTTGGTGTTTTTCCTATTTTGTTGCATTACAACCTGGAATCAAAATGTTTCTTTATTTTGACTTTTTAAAGTGGTTCTATGGACAGATACTGTGGAGCTTTAGTTATTTTTCTGTCGGTCCATTACATAAAATCCAAATAGAAATCCATTTTAATTCCAGGTTGTAATGCAAGAAAATAGGAAAAACCAAAAGCTGTGCACTGTACTAAACTTATGCTGTACTTAGAATAAACGTGTTTGTGCGTTGAATGTTCCTAAAGTCTTTCCCCGTTTGATTGCAGACGGACCGATCTAGAAGCCCTGGGCTCGGCCCTGAAGCAGTACAGATATGGTCACTCCGCTCTGATCAGCTGGATCGAAGAAACGACGGAGAGACAGGAGAACACACAACCCGGACAGTCGGACAGCAAGGCGCTGTCCGAGCAGCTGGCCCAGCAGACGGTTAGTTACACTAAATGGTATGGATCGAGTCTAAGGAACGATTCAAGATTAGAAATATCGGTGCGCCTCAAATGTTCGATGATGGAAAAATAGGGATGAAACAAAATGGAACCAACATATTAAATTTGACAGACTTAAATACATGATATGTGTTCTTTATGTTCCGATTCCCCTCCTCAGGCATTAGTAGCTGAGATTGAACAGAATCAGGCCAAACTAGACGAGTGCCAGACTCACTCCAAACTGTACTGCGCCTCAGTGAAGGTAAGGACTCTCATATGCAGCATGTCAAATGTGTGAACTGGTGTGTGCGGAGCAGTTTTACTATGATGGTCCAAATGATCTGGTCGCCATTGTTCTGTGTCGCAAACAATCAAGAAGACGTGTAAATGCATTTGATAAGTGTCGGTTTACCAACTAGTATTACATTATTACATTAAAATACTCTTGTATTATGTGCAATCATAATACAGATATTTGACTTACTCATGTGTACACGGCTGTATTCTTTAGGACTACGAACTGCAGCTGATGACCTACAGAGCCTTCGTGGAATCTACGCACAAGTCTGCTGTCAAGAGGAGGAGGATGCACTCTTCCTCTGACGCCATCACTCAGGAGGTGAGGATGAGAGAGTCCGCTAAACTCTTGTGATTAATATCACGGAGACATCTTTTGAATATTGAGATAATCTATATCTTGTATTTGTTTCCGGGTGTTTCTCTCTGCAGTTCATGGACTTGCGTACACGATACACAGCCTTGGTCACCTTGACAACCCAACACGTAAAGTACATCAGCGATGCCCTGAGAAGACTAGAAGAAGAAGAGGTGGGGCTTTGTTTCGCTGTGTGTCTCCCTCCTGTTTGGAATGTGTGGTTCAATTAATTCACTGCAGTGCAAAGTATAAGGTGTAAGGTAAATAGTTTGAGATTTATCTTTAATTTTTTTTTTTTATCTGTGCAGAAAGAGGTGGAGGAGGAGAAGCAGGCCAGGGTGGGGCAGGTCTCAGACCTGCTGGGCTGGGTCAAAGGCCTCCAGGGACGGACCGGGGGCCCCAACGCCGAGTCCTCACTTGCTGCTCAACAGGTACAACAGAAATCTAATATGATTACACACATTATTCCACAGACAAGTTAGGGTTATGCTTCCTCATGAATAAAATGTAATTTGCTGTTTGATTGAAACATAGACACTGGTGGTTGTCCTGTACTGAGAGCATCATGCATATGTGTTCTTCTAAAGGCCATCAGTGAACAGCTGGCAGCCAAGAAAGACGAAGTGGCTGAAGCCATCAGGAGCACTCAGGGCTTCCTGCTGTCGAAACAGGCCAGCAAGTAAGATCACGCTCCACACATTCACTACACTACTGTAGCATCGAGCACAGAGAACAGAGCAACAAGCAGTGCATTCTCATCCAGCTGCTTGTCATGGAAATTCTGAATTAAAGGGATAGTTTGGATTTTTTGAAGTGTGGTTGTATGAGGTTCTTCTCCATAGTCAGTGTATTTACCTTCAGCAGATGGAGTGTGGAGAAACAGACAGGAGTACCAGCAAAGGAGCAAAGCATTGCACTGCTGTGGACGTATTTTAGACACCTAACAAATAAAATCAATATCAGTTTAAGTGTACGCTATATTAGAGTATTTAGTTTGTCTGATTATTATGGTTAGTTCAAAATTCACCATACTCACACAATATAAACAAACGTCTACTGTTGGTAATACACTGACTACGTACCTTATAACTATAACGCCACTTTAAAAACAGTCCAAACTATCCCTTCAAGCTGATTTTTGTCAGGTTTATTACAGTTTGGGTAATTTGGGGAATTGGATGAAACCTCAAGGGAATGTTTCAAATGGACAGGTTTACAGTGATATATATGTACTGTATTATATATTATCAGCTTGTTACTCTACCAAATGGTTTGTTTCAGCTTACAGTATCTAGAGCTTTTTCATGGGTAACATTTGTCTCAATGATACAATAGGAAGAAATTATTTTTGGGTACATCGCACATTAAACTCACAAAGCCCACCCGCTCTAACCTTCTGCCTTGTGTCCTCCTCAGGTTGTCCCCAGAGGAGCGTGCTCATGTCGAGGCTCAGCTGGACGAGCTGAAGGCCGCCTACAACCAGCTGTGTAACAGCTCCTCCCAGCAGCTGCAGCAGCTGGAGCAGCAACTGGCCAAAGAGAAGGAAAGAAAGGTAGATCGGTTGGAGAGAGGGGGGGTAGCGCCCATTTGAGACAAAAATGTATTTTCAGGTTTTGTAAGCTTGTCGAAATGTAATTGTGAAAAATGTTGCTGAAAACGCTTGCGAGCTAAGCGTGAGTTTGCGTGTGGGCCAGTGAGTGTGTGTGCGCGTTGTGCAGCATGTGTGTTCACTGATTTGTGACAAACATCACCACTATTGACGAGTCTCACTCATTGACTTGGTTCGGTTTAACAAACATCACAGACCCTGTTCAGACGTGCATCCAGATGATCTTAAAATAACTTTTTATTTTTAGCACTTTTGTGTGACCTCTTTTGTCATTCAAGTAGAGATGGTACAAATAATAGAATAAACGCTTTTTCAGAAAATGTGATGTGTTTTCTAAATTAACACCGAAGGGAAAAGAAGAATTCTCTGGATGACACGTCTGAACTGGGCCGTAGCATGGAGTGTTCCACTGACTCGCATTGTTCTCCTCAAAGCCTGCAGTCATTTCATCATCTATCATCATCATCATCATCATCACCATCACTGTCATTATCATCAGAAAATACATCTGCTGAACTGCTAACATGGTAATACATGGCCTAAGTGGTGCCGCACAAGTCATGCTAGCCGGTAGCTAGAAGCTGTAGCGCTCCGCTTTTTGTGGATCCATCGTTGGAAACAAATAATTTACGAATTAGATGCACCTTTACATTTTAATCATCTCAGTAGCTACTGAATAGTATCATGTTTCTTTGCTTTATGTGGTAGTAAAATAATGCCACTACATAAAGTAAACACATCACATTGAAATATGTTTTACTGCATTAAGTTTACCCCTTGTTTATGTGTACAATCGATCATTTATACATGCACAGTCAGCTCCCACTTTGTCATTCCTCTTCTGCCACATCCAATACGGTGCATCTGTCAAAAAAATGTATTGAATGTGTGCGAATTTCAGGTTCCAAGCAATCCTTGATGATAATTCTTGTCTTGACAGCTGCACCTCACGACCGATTCCTCTGTGGATGTTCTGTGTTTTTACAGGGGACTCTTATGTGACTAAACAAATACTCACTGAAGCATAGACGCTTTGAAAAAGTTACTTTTAGGGGTTTTGAGTGTAAGTGCACCAGAGGCCAGCTATGCAAAAACAAACACTTCACCATTTGAGCATGTTGTGTCCAGATCACCAGAGTGTGTGAATGAGAGTTTTTGTGTTTGTTCTAATGCATTCTATTAATGTGTGAAACTTTAAACCAGCGTTTTGCTTGAAAACCACTAACAGCAGCCAGAGGAGAATTGTGGACATCCGAGCTCTGAGCCAAGGATCAGAATGGGAGACGGGAAATAAACTAAATCTGCAGATCAGTTTACTGTTCAGTTAGCGCAAGTGTAAACCATATCGTATCTCACAAGATAATATGGCCAATGCCTTGCCAATGATAATGAGTAGTAACAATCTTACTGTATGTGATACATGGTATGTTGCAAAACAATGTGCAATTCATCATGGTATCTGTGCAACTGAAGAGCTAAACATACCTTCCATATAGTATTATCTTCCATTCTAAAGTGAGGTCAGCAGGATTTAGTGTCAGTGCAGTGATAGGAGTCAGAATTAAGAGTGGCATGCAGATTGCTAACAACCAGCTTCTCACCTGTCGCGCCTCGCTCTGCCGATACATAAGCTGGCCCATTAATGCGTGTGCCACGGGACAAGCCCGTACGGTAAGTAGCGCTCGCTTTCTCTCTTCTCTCTACTAGAAGTTGTATCCACCTCTTCCTCTGAACGCTTCTGAGTTCTTTTGTGTGTCTTCGTTCTCCTTTATCTTGGGCATTTTCTGTATTTTTCTGTTGCTTTTTTGCATGCTTAGTGCTTGTTTTAGAATAGCAGTGCAGTTGTAAGTTTTAAAGCCCTTTTTGATGTAAAACAATTGTGGAGAATGGGAAAGAAAAGTAAAATTCCTTATGTACAAATAATGAGCATGCTATTTATTTATTTGTTTTTAATTATATCCGTTATGTTTTTATGGCAACTGGTTGTGGGTTTTCCTCTTTTTCTAATTCTACCATCTGATTCTGCCCATAATATGCTAGATAGTATAATTAATATGATAACATAGCAACATAACTTGATTCATTTAGAGTCTCAAAGTGCCATACCACATTGTTCTTCAATGTTACTGGAATGAATGTCAACTGGAATTTTGTTTTCTTTATTTTTCTAGACCCAAATTGCCATTGCTGGAGTAATTGACCTGGGAACAGTGGAAACATTCCCAGTGTTCAGAGCAGCCCAACGTGGTCTTATTGACCAGGACACCTGCCATGTACTACTGGAGGCCCAGCTCATTATGGGTGGGCTCCTCCAGCCTGACTCCCCTCTCAATCTTTCACTGGAACAAGGTCTAGCTCAAGGCCTTATCGACACACACACTCGACAGTCCCTTTCCGAGCTAGAGAGAGCCTTGCTTTTGGTGGAAAATACTAAGTGTACAGATGGCCAACAACAAAATGTGTTGCCAGCAGCTGCAGCAATGGAGTCTGGGCTCATCAGAGAAGAGGTGGCACTTCGCATTTTAGAACTCCAGATGAACACTGGAGGCCTGAGGAGCTCAATGGGAAAAATGATGAGTTTGGAGCAGGCAGATGACAAGAGACTTTTGACTCCCAGAACCCTCACTAAGCTCCAGTCAAGGCAACAACAAAAAGAGCTGATCGATCCAAACACAGCCGAAAAATTAAACCTACACGAGCTACAAGAGCGCTGTGTTCTCGACGATGACTCCGGTCTCCTTCTCTTCCCTGTCAAACAGCAACCTGGAGGAACTGTCTGCCTCCGGTCTGGAAGAAAAGTTGGCATATTCCGCGCCATTCAGGAAGGTCTGATTGATCGGAAAGTTACTGTAAGACTTCTTGAAGCTCAGCTCTTTGCCGGTGGTATAGCTGACCCACGGTCTGGCCACCGATTGACAGTCGATGAGGCTGTTCGTCATGGGCTTATGGACCAGGATCTAGCCTGTGCCATGTTAGCACGACAGCTGCAAAATGGGGGAATTCTAGACCCTTTCAGTGGAGAGCGCCTAGATTTGGAAGAAAGTATACGCAGGGATCTTCTTTCTCCTCGATTGGCTCTGTTGGTCCTTGAGTCTCTTTGGGCTTTCATGGGAATAGTCTGGCCTGAAACTGGAGAACTCCTGCCCATTGTTGAGGCTCTTCAAAAAGGAGTGATCTCAGGTGAGCTTTCAAGGAACATCCTAAGGCAGCGACATGCCATTGGGGCTTTGTACAACCCAGAAACCCTCCAGGTGCTTCCCCTAAACCAGGCTACTGAAGAGGCCCTTGAGCCCAGTGTTGTCAGTCTTCTCAAGAACACCCACATCCCAGATGTTCTTTCCAGCATGAACCAGTCAGGTACCCCATCTCTAAACCGCCTGAGCTGGGGTTCCACCAGCTCCTCTCCACCTCCATCGCCTTCATCATCTCCCGCAGGCCTTGTCTGGGATGCAACACCAACACATGACATGGATCCTGAAGAGCAAGCAAAACACAAGCTGCTGTTTCACCTCATAACTCACAGCTATGTGGATGCTCATTCCGGAAAAAGATTGGTGCTGCTCGACCCTGAGTTGGTGGAGTTGGTCAAAGCTACTGAACTGATTGCTGGAGCATCTAGAAGTCAAGTTGAGCCACAAAGCAGTTTGACCACAGATGAGCAGGAAAAGTTGAAAACGGTGAGACAGTTTAGTTTGGCAGCTATTGGGATAAGTGACACACAAACTGAGGTTGAGGAAGAAAGTTCCGATGTAGTCACATCAAATAAAGAAGTTGAGAAGAATGGTACAGGTAGTCTAAAAGAAAGGTATGATGGAGAAAATGACTACAAACTGCTGCATAAACCATCAGTAACTCCAAAGAGGGATTTAGCCTTTGAAGCTAACAATGAAGTTGGTGTGAATAAAAAGGTTAAAGAAAAAGCTCAAAAGAAAGAAATATCCGACCATGAAAGTTTAATGGCTTCAGCTAAAAGACCAAATGAGCTGCTAGCAACCGAATTCAAACCCAGGGATAGTGGTGGCCAGCAGGGGACTAGAAGTTCGACCACATCAGAAGAAAGGAAAACCACGACAAAACCTCTCAAGTCTATCACACTGGGAGCAAAAGCAACTGAAGATGTTCAATTTAAACAATCTGATATAAAGCATTCCCAGACTGAATTAGAAATGACCACAGAAAAGATGCCTATGACGGAGACTGACTCAAAGCATGCAAAACCTCAGATTGATATCCGTGAATCAGAAGTGGAAAAGGAAGGGGAGGATGCTGAATGGGCGAAGTTGGTCCTAGAGCTCAAACAGGGAGGTCTGATGACAGAGGAAGGGGAAAAGCTGCTCCCAGATGAGGCAGTGGCCCAAGGTGTCCTTCCTGGCCACACAGCAGTTAAATTAATGGCTCAGACTGGTCTGTTTGGGGGTTTCCTAGATGCGAGCAGCAGTGAGTCACTTAGCATGGAAGATGTTATGCAGGAGGGTTTACTGGGTGAAGATCTAATGTGGAGTGTGCTGAAGTCAGATAAAATGCTTGCAGGGGTTGTGGATGTAGAGAAAAAGCAGATCTGCGGGGTAAGGGAGGCTGCTCAGGCAGGGTTGATCGACCCCAACACCGCTGCGCGACTTCTGGAAGCCCAGGTGGCGTCTGGGGGGATTGTTGACCTATGCAGAGATAAGAAAGTCTCTGTCACCCTAGCAGCAAACCTGGGACTGATTGAGGAGGATCAAAGAGAAGAACTGGTGGCACTAGAGAAGGCATACAAAGGAAAGGATACAGATTCAGCAACTGCCCTCACTAAAGCCAGTTTACAGCTACAGATGGAAGGTGTTATTGACCCAGAGTCCAAGTCTCCAGTTCCTCTAGAGCAAGCTATTCAGAAAGGGTTAATTAGATCTGAAGAGGCTTATCAGGTGTTGGCAAGGCAGGTGGCTGAGGGTGGTATAATACATCATGCTTCAGGGATGAGGCTGTCAGTTCCTGATGCTGTAGATAGAAGACTAGTGGATCGGTCCATTGCGCCTGGGCTGGAAGAACTAGAGTGGGTCTACCAAGGAAAAGTCAGCCCTTCATCTCACCCAGAAGCTGTCGTTTTCCAGGCATCGACCGGAGCCATTTTAGACCATGACTCTGGATGTAAACTGACATTGACGGAGGCAGTTTCTAGGGGTCTTCTGGATGAGAATATTGCCAGTGACGCCATGACTTCTTCTACTGTAACACAAGGGGCGATTGACCCAGAAACTGCACGCATTGTGCCTTATTCTGAGCTTGTAAAAAGGGGGAAGATAGATATTGAAACAGGCAAACGCTTCTTGGAGGTGAAACCCTTTAGAGGTGTTCAGGATGGGCACACAAGAGACATCTTGACCCTTCCTGAGGCAGTTGCATCAAAGCAAGTTGACCCAGTTCCAGCATTGAGGCTTCTTCAAAGCCAGGCAGACAGTGGAGGGATCATTGACATCAGTACTGGAGAAAGGCTTCCCCTATTTGAAGCCTGTGAAAGAGGTTTAGTTGAAGACAATATGGCCAGGGTAATAGCCACAAACCAGTTTTTGAAAGGAGGCTTACTTGATTCTGCCACTGGGCAACAAGTCTCTAATCTTGAGGATGCCATTGCAAAAGAACTGATCTCCAGTGACATAGCTTCAGAGATACAGGAGAAATTGGCTTCAGTGGAAGTGGAGGGGGATCAAGGCAGCACTACACCTGTTGCCTCATCAAGTGGCACATACAGCCCTGCTGTTATAATGTCAGTGTCAAGGCCAGACAGTCCAGCAAACTGGTCAGACGTAAGCTCGGAGGTGCTTTCAAGACCTCCACTTTTAAAGAAAGGTTTAGGAATTACACTGGACGATGGAAAGAGATTGACATCTGTAGTATCAGATCACTCACTGTTTTATGACCCTACTACAGAAGAGGACAAAATTAAAGTGTCAGTGGAAGAAAAGGCTGCAATTGAGCCCGACCAATCCCTAGACATCTTGTGTGAGTTTGTTACTAATGTTGAGAAAAGAGTTCAGGAAGCCATAGAAGAGATTGTGCCGCAGACAAACATCCGTAAATCAGAGCCTCTTCCTAAGCAAAAGCCTGATGAGAGAGTGCAAATAGGTGCAAGTGAGACCGATTATAAACGAAAGGGGAACATTTTCAGAGATGGTCTTGGAGAATCCATTCAGGCACATGTCTATGATATCGACAAAGATTTACAGGGAGAGGTCAGAAAAGGAGGGGCTGTTTTAAAGTCAGGTGAGGAACCCGTGAATGTTGGGAAAAAGGAGTGTGATGAGGGCACGTTGGTGGTTCATCATGATTCTGAAGATGGAAACCAGGCAGGTTTTGTGGCAGCAGAGTTTAGAGATGACGGAGAAAGAAACGATGGCATTGAAGTGTCTAAATTGAGTGAAGAGGATTATAGAAAGAGTGATGTGGCAGCACAGAGAGATGATGTTGAAGACAAGAAGGGCAATAAAGTGGAGAAAGATAAACCTTTAAAGATTGAGATCAAACCTAGCAATGACACGGAGCAGTCAGACCAGTTGTTGACCTCTCCATCCAAAGAGACGGAAAGCAAAAGCAAGAAGAAGAGGAAGAATAAAAGGAACGGAAAGCCCAAAGGATCAGAGAGAGAAACGCACCTTCCAGAGATGAGACATTCATCTGAAATTGATCAAGCTGGTGCAAATATTGAAGGACAGCCTGAGGCCATTGATGTAGTTACATCACAAGAAGAATACCAGAAATCACAGATTCAAGGGCATCCCAAAGGAGAAAGTGAAGCAAAGATTGCCGGGAAAGTTGAGGCTCAAAATGATTTGGTAAAACAGGGAACGGAAGCAGTTCCAGCATCTCTTGAATTGACAGAGCATACCATTGAGCCAGAGAAAGATGCAGTAAAACTAGCTTTGAAGGATACAGAAATAGGTGATAAGAAAGAGGAGATAAAACGGGAAGAGCAGAAAGAGAAGGAGAAGGCTTTGGTCTCTCAGCAACCAGAACAACCAGAGAGCAGTCAGGAGGTAGCGAAAAGGAGGGAGCAAGAATTCCCTCAGAAATCTGCTCTCCCAAGCGACGAGAAAGTGGCCCTGATATTGAAAGCCAAAGAGAGCATCCTCAAAAAGGTGTTTGAAAAAGGTGTGAGTGAGAAGCAGGCTGCGGAGGAGCTGCATGCACTGCGCAAGGAGGTGGGGAAGAAGGAGGGTCGAGGCAGGACTGTAAAGACACAATCTCTGCCTTCTAAGGCTGGTGGAGTGGAGGGTCATGATGATGATGTCAAGAGACCAAATGGTTCACCTAAAGAGAGTGAGGAAGAGATGAGGGACAAAGAAGACGAAATGACATTGAGAAGGGTCAAAGAAGATAAGACCGAGAAGAAACTTTCTGTCAAGGAGGACATGGAGACCAAGGTTTCTTCAAATGAGAAAGAAAAGAACAGGAGCTTTGGAAAGGAAGACATTGAAACGGCCTCGTCAGTCCAGCCTAACGAAACCAAGCAAAGTAAACGTAGAAAGAAAAACAAGAAGACTAAGAGGCTAAAAGTGACAGACAAAACCGAGCCTGACACCGAGGAGTTAACGACAGAAAAAGTGGATTCTGACGTTGCAAAAGAAATTACCACAAAATCTGCAATGGCAAAACCAGATTCAGATAACTCAACTTCCACTATGGAGCAGAAGATGGACCCACAGTCAGCCAGTGGTGTCGTGAGACCTTCAGTTGTTGAAGGGGAGACATTTGTAATTAATGTTAAAGGAGATGAGACCAGCCAACAAAGTCCACCATATTTATGTCAATCAGAGAAACCCTATTCTCACATTGAGGAACACGTTCAACTGGCAGCGGTTACATCTGTTGGGAAAGAAGAATCACATTCAGAAACAAGGAATGCTGCCGAATCCATTGGCTTTTCTCACAAGGCTGTGACGTGCAGACCAGACATCCAACCCACAGCTCAATCAATTGCTGCTGGCACACAACCAGATAAAACGGCAGGGAAAGGTAAAAAGATGAAAAGGCACCAACCACCTGAAGTTGATTGCACCAATGTTCCCAAATCAAAAGACCAACAGCAGCACCTTGAGTCCCCGGAATCGGCGCCTTCGCTCTCAGAAGACACTTCAACCGAGTCTGAATCGCCTGGAGTTACTGAGTCTGATACGGCCTCCGAGAGTTGGGGGGACGGAGAAGATGATGTCGGAGAGAGTCGAGAAACTGTGTCAAACAAAGAGCGGAGGACATCCTCGACCGGCAAGGTAAGAAGTCGCAGATCATTTGTGAAGGATATATAGACATTTCTTAAGAATAAGCTCTATGCTGCCTACAGTTATACATACATGTTATTATGTTTTATCATATTTAATTTTTTTTCCCCAAAGTCGGCATTGATGCGTCAGGAGTGCTTGGAGCAGGACCAGCGAATTGTAGCCCTGCTCTCCATGGTCAGACACGTTGAGGTCCGACTCAAACGGCAGCAACAGCAGTCTGTCGGCCGCAGCCTCATCGCCTTGGATGACATCATCGGACAGACTGAGGTGACAGAATAGGCAAATTTACCTGGTAGAGATATGCTGTTAAATGAATGTGCCACCAGCCAACGTGAATGTACGTTTGTCGACGCTTGAATTATTTTGCAGTTTCCGTCGTGCATTTGGTTCCTGAGAGTGAGACAAATAAAAAAGCTGATTAGTGGATTAGTCTCAAAAAAACAAAGCGCATCAAGAAAACCTTTGTTTCCTTTTCTTAATCCGTCTCTCAGACTCTGGACCTCGAATTGCGAGACTTGGAGCCCACGGTTACCGAGGAAGTGGAGGCCGCTCAGGAGCTGTTGACGCCCCAACCCAAAGACGTTCCTCCGCAGCTCCTATTGGCCTTGGAGAAGGACGGGCGGAGCTTGGCTCGAGGGTACGAGGCTGCCAGAGCACTTTCTGAGGGCATTCTGCAAAGTCTACGAGACCGTAGAGACTCGTATAAGGTAAAAGGAGCAGGAAAATAACTTGTGTACTAGGTGATCATTTGTCGTAGAGGTGACTTGGAACCATAATTCTTATTTGATTTTTTTAGATGAATTACCCTGTTTGGGTTCAGAAAAAGTCCTCATTTCCCCTTTGTACATTTTTGAATTGAATCACTCTTGCGTTTCTCTCAGGAGGCGGTAACAGCTGAGCAGAAGTCACTGGGAGGACAAGTGGAGAGTCTGCTCTCTTGGTTGCGGGAGACAGAGGTTCAGATGAACGGTGGAATGGCGGGGATGGAAAAAATGGAGAAGGCAGAGAAAGATGACAATCGTGATCAGCTCACACAGCAGCTGAATCTCTGCAAGGCAAGTTGTCCGTGGATCATGTGGTAACTCTGTTTGTCTCTTTGCACCACCCTTAGAGCTATGGAGGAATAACGTATCTACCCCTTTCCTTACTCTTTCCTTTCAGGAGCTCCAGTCCGCTCTGACGGCTCGCTCCGGTGAGGTCAACAACGCGGCCTTTGACATCCAGGTGTTCATCTCGGAGCGGGCCCAGGACCTGGCCCCCGAGCAGAGCCGGCGGCTCTTGGGGCAGCTCCAGCAGCTCCAGAGGGCATTCCACCTGGCATCAGGCCAAGCCCAGGCCTGGGCCGACGCCCTCTCCGCCCAGAGAGCGAGGGAGGAGGAGCGGCAGCGCAGGGAGAGAGTGAAAGAAGAGGAGAAGGACAAAGACAGGCGGAGTGCAAGGGAGAGAGAGGTTTGGAAAAACAACATTGAGTGGGAATGGTTTGAAACGCGCCGCTGTTTCTCACTAATACATTATAAATGCGTTTAGCTTGACTGGACTATATTTCACAGCTTCATTTGTCATGCTGTAAACTATCGCCATGCTTTCTTACACAAGATCATAGTACTCGCGTTCTATAAAATCACATCAAACTCATTTCACAGTAGAAACTGTAAAAGCCTGACATAAGTGAGCTAACCTCCACCTCCATTTAACTTGCACTGCCATCATACATCACCTCAAACCTATTCTCAACATTCGTTAGCTGGAAAGCAACCCAGTGCTGCTCTTGTTGCCAAAGCTTTGCCACATGACATGGACAGTATCGCCACCCTCAATCCTACTACACAGGCTTTTAATGCAAGTGTGTTTGCTACTCTGCATGTCTCTATAACGTGTGTTTTATTAACCTGTTTGCCTTGCTGTTCCAGATTGCCACTGAAGGAAATCGCTTGTGTCACGGCGGTAACAAAGGCTAGAGATCTGATAGCAGAAAAGGCCTCGCTGGCTACGGCGCTTAACTGTTTTTCCTCTTGTCTCACCGGAATGCGGAGGGGAAAGAGGAAAAATGGCAAATAAACGTGTATTTGTTTGATTTGTGTCGTCTGTTGTCGCTTGACCACCATGTTGATGTGAAGATACTTTGTGTGTTTGTATGTCTGCGTATGTGTGTGAGCGTGAACTCTGGACACAAACTGCTCAAAGCTTGGCAAAGTGTGCACTACACAAGAATTACATTGAATTTGTAAAAACTGGTGGTTTAGATCAACAACTTAAAGAGTCTGTTCCTGCAACTTGATCCAGTGTTAAGTGCTTGTGATGGACTCGTGTCAGCATCCATTTTCCTCACATGTTCTCTCTTTATTGGTCTATCCTCCCCCCCCCCTCTACTCGCTCACTTCCCTCAGGTGGTTCAACAGCAGAAAGCCGAATGCTCTCAGAAACTAGAAGGCCTCACCATGTGGTTGGTTGGAGCTGCCAGCCTACTGGCCAGTCAGAAAGGTGGAGCGGAGTCATGTGACGTGAACGCCTTGCAGGAGAAGCAGAAAAGACTGAAGGTACGAAATGTCTAGAATCTAAAGGGCAAAGGACCGAAATGACTACATAATGACGATATGTACATTCACCTCACTTATAATCTAATATTAGCATTTTAACTCACTAAATTTGCCTTCTTAGTTTACTATTTTGACCAAATACATTTTGCCTCGATATCCAGGAAGCACAGAAGGACCTCCAGACCAAAGAGGAGGGCATCGCCGAGACCATCTGCTCCGTGGAGGAGCTCCTGGCAGACCGGAGGGAGAATCTGAGCCCAGAGGAGCGGGAGAGCCTCCAGGGTGCGCTAACGAGAATGAAGGAGCAGTACAGCGCTCTTAAAGATTCAGCAAACACGTCGCTGTCAGAGCTGGACACGGCCATCAACACCACTGTACAGCAGAACACACAAAGGGTGAGTACAGGAGTGGTTACAGACTATAAAAAGATGTGTATTATTGTTTGCATGTAGCTTGTTTTGTACTCGCCCTCCCCTTTTTTCTCCCCTTCCCTCCAGGCGAAGGCTGTGGAGGATCTCCAAGAGACCCAGGGCCAGATAGACTCTCTGCTGAATGAGTTGTCCTCCCTCAACCAACCAGGCGGGAGAGCAGTTGGATCCGGAGTGGCCCAAGATTTCGCCGATGCGCCGTTCTCACAGCCAGAGGGCGCTGTGATGTCACACACAGAGGCGCTGCAGGTTTGGAACCTCCGCTCCACGCGCAGCACATTTCTGACTTTAGAACCTAACAACGTTACAAAGTTCCTGACCCTTTGATCTCTCTCCCAGGCGGAGCTTCAGCAGCTCCAGTCTCAACAGGCCCAGCTGCTTCAGATCGCACAGTCGACCCGCTCCCTTCTGGACCGGCCCGACTCCGCTGTGCCTCCTGAAGAGAAGCAGCGGCTCCGGGCCGCCCTGGACCAGCTGCAGGCCCAGCACCAGGAGCGGCTGCAGAGCTGCCAGGTACTCAAAATGAATACAGATGTGTGTTAAGTCTGCAGCAAGGCCTCCTGACCTGCCTTATGTGCTGATGTGTGATATATGGACCTTTTATGTCATTGCAAATTGGATGCCAGTGACAGTCTCTGGGTTTCACCTTTAATATTTTCTTATAGCTACCTGACTCCAACTGTTGTGACAATTTCTTCCAGGACCGTCTGAGGAAGTCTGAGGCTCTGAAGGATGAGCTGACAAAGTTCCTCCAAGAACATGGAAGTTTAGGTGCCTGGCTGGAACAAAATGAACAGGAACTACATTCCCTGGCGGAAGGAGAAACCGACGCACAAGGACTGAAGAGCAGACTGGAGGAGCACAGAAAGGTACACTTGTTAATAACATAATGGACGTTTTTCTATTTATTGTTTAATGTTATTCATTCCCCTTTTTTTATATTTCCATTCTAACAAACTGAATCACAAACATGAGTGTGATTGTGTGCGTGTGTTTATCGTTCCCATTTAACAGGCTGCAGATTGTCCACAAGAGGGAGCAGTTCAGTCATGTCAGACCAAATTTTACGATCAGCAAGATATATAGAGACATGTCAATGTTGCCACCCAGGAAAAACAAATGAATTGCAGCACCGGTATAAAACCTGTCCGTCCCTCTCCAGAGAAAGTAGGACAGAAAAAACATTCTCCAGACCACAACTTAAATTTTGCCGGTTTAAAATTATCAAAAAAAACCTTGGACACACGTAAACGTTCAGCAGCTATACAAAATATTTAAAAACGGCTGTTTTAAAGGTGTAATATGTTAGGAAGATTATCCATTGCCTCCAATTGGTTCTCAACATCTGACAGCTGAGCCGGTCGGATCAAAGCTAATGGTGCTAATAGCGCAAACTACGGCAATGGTGCTGAATATGTCAACAAACTGACTTCCCATGCTCGGTTTGCATCCATCCATCCGTACCCCCTGACGTGCGCTGATTTACACTTTCACTATCCACTCCACTCAAGCAGTTTGGGATAATTGTCCTTTTTTTAAAAGTCCCTTGAGATCACATTTGCTATGTTTTATATCTTTTCTCAGCCATTCTGGAAAGTTAATACTTTCCATTAACGCTCATGTCTTTGTAATTATCTTTGTAACTGCACACGTCTGCGTGAATTTGTCCCCAACTGACCTGTAAACGTATCTGTATTTCCAGCTGGCTGAGGATGTGATTTGCCACAAGGCGGACCTGCGCTTTGTTTCCATCTCGGGTCAGAAGGTTCTGGACTCTGTCCAAGGAGCTTTGGAGCAAGTAGGCGGTTCAGACCCGGCCCTGGACAGCACCAAGCAGCTAGTAACTGACAAGCTGCAGGATGCCAACCACAGATACACAAGCCTGCACACCAAGGTGAGGGATACTAGAATTTCTTAGTTCTTTCATTTTTGTCTTGAATTTACACACACACTGAAACTTTCTGTCGGTGCGTGCAGTCGACAGAGTTGGGCGGCCGTTTGTCCGGCCTGTTGGAGCGGTACCAGCAGTACCAGGATGAGGTCATCTCCGTCCACTCTTGGCTGAGTGCTCAAGAACAGAACCAAAGCATAGCCAAGCCCAGCGGGGAGACAGACCCCCAGAACCTGCAGGACACACTACGACAAGTACAGGTGAAGAACAGATCACAAACATGATCATAAACACAGGGTGAGGGAAGGAAGGAAGAAAGGGAAATCTTATTCCGTCCGATACCTCATGTTAAGTTCTGACCAAAAAAAAGGAAATGATTAAGGAAATGAATGTCTGGAAAAAGGGGTTAAACACTATAGTGGAAATGTGGGAACCGTGTCCTTTTTTTTGACTCTGGAGTGTGTCACCTGTCTTCAGCTGCTGCAGGACGAGCTGGCCGAGCGTTCGGTGCAGCTGGAGAAGGTGAAGAGAGCAGGAAGAGATCTGGTCAGCACGGACGAATCTCCTTCCCTGAAAGCTGTTGACATCCTCTGTGCTGCAGGTAATATAACTCACCCAATCTGTCTTATCCTCTGACAGCTGCTCCTGAATGGGAGTTAAGTGGATGGAGTGATTTTAAAAAAGGTAACATTTTATTTTGCCCCCCCCCACTCCTTCTTTTCAGATGGTTTAGAGAAGAGGTTTGGCTCCCTCTCTGCGTCCGTGTCAGAACGGTCCGAGCAGCTGCAGACGGCTGTGGCCCAGTCCGTCAGCGTCCAGGAGGGCCTCAAGGGTCTGCTGAGCTGGCTGGAGAAACTGGTTCTGAATCCCGGACCAGTCGAACCCACCGCACAGGCCGTTCAAGACGCCATGACACAGAACCAGGTAGGAGTAAACCCAGAGGAAACGCTGCAGGTTGCTGTTGACACGTCACATCTAGGAATCTAAATATTTACTGGAGTTTGCATTCTAAGTCTCCTCGTCTTTCCCCAGAAACATCGCCAGGAGCTGCTGTCCAGGCAGGGCAGCGTGGAGGCAACGCGAGAGTCCGTTTCCAAACTGGTCCAGAGCTCTGATGCCTCCACGGCCTCCGGCCTCCAGGGCGCTCTCGATAATCTGACTCAGCGCTACGCCGCAGCACAGGCTAGCCAGGCCGAGAGGGAGGCTGAGCTCAAAGGGCTGTTGCCCAGGCTGGAGGGCTACGAGCGGCTGGGGATCGACCTCCGGGCCTTCACCCAGAGCCGACTGAAGGCTCTGAGCCCGGCGGGCCAGCCGGACCGCAGCATGGACGACTACAGGCAGACCACTGAGGTCAGCAGGGGCGTCAAATTGTTTTATATAGGTCATCTACTGTACGGTCCCACTTGAGTTGAATGATTTCAAGGTTCTAAGACCTCTTAAAGCCTCTCTGGGCATCAGTGGATCAGTGACACTGTCGGTCCATTCAACACTTTGGTCCTTTTTCTCAGGAGGTCAGGTCCGAGCTGGAGCAGGAAGCCAGCCAGCTGAAGTCCTTCTGCAACCTCGGCACCGAGCTCAGCCAATCGAAAGCCTTCAACAACACTCGAAGCTTATTGGATAACGTCAAAGGAGTGTCTGATGAGTTCACCCAGCTGGAAGCAAATGTCAGCACAAGGTAAAAATGTTCACTGAACATGAGAAAAGTGCCTCTTTTTTATTAATGCAGCCTTAACTGTAAGTCTTATTCATTTTCATGCCGTTTTGTCCTTTTTTGGTTAACATCAAAACATGGACGCAAATCAATGTGCTGGTCTTCAACATGGTTGCTTTGCCTCAGTAGGAAATATTATTATATATTATTATTAATAATTAAGGTTACATATAACAATGGGAGTAATAGGAATGATTATCTTAAGAACAAAATCAGTCTGAACCTTTTTAAACCCTTTCTCATAAATTCGGCAGTGTACCATAACAGACACAAGGGGGCACCAAATACTAAGCCGTTAGGATATCAATCATTTAGCTGGATAGTTGTTGAAACATGACATAGGTCACTTCCAGTTCGACTGACAACAAACCAGATAACCTTTAGAGACAGAATACTAAGTTTTGATTGGATATGATCGGCCTGCAGAACAGACCAAGCTGCTGGCATATTCCAACATTTCTTTTCTAAATGCGTAGCCTTCCCGGAGCACCAGTTGCTATGCCGACCTCGTCTGACGAGGTATCAGTGAGCAGCCTCAGAGGCCCGTCAGAAGGGAGGGGGGGGTGCTGGGAATTTATAAATACCATCAGTCTGGTGCAGATTTATTGGATTACACTTGAGTTTAGTGAGCCAGTCATCTCATAAATGGGAGTAGTTTTATGGACATATTTGAATATGTTCTGGGTGTCCATAGCTTATCTTACAGAACACACTGTACATGATGTCGGGATTATTTAGTGTGTTGACTGATGTTCCACAGCTGTTGGTTGCTGTACTGTGTGTGTGTGTGTGTGTGTGTGTGTGTGTGTGTGTGTCTACTGTATGTGTGCGAGAGCTGACGAGCAGGCCGGAGGGTGCTAATATAAGCAGGCTGGACGCGGCTCATTGTCCGTCCTATAAACGGCCCGCTCAGATGTCTCCCAGCCTCCACTCCTGAGGGGGGAGAAAATAGCAGCATGATAATGATACACCTCAAAGCCAGACGGCAGACTCCTCCGAGCTGTTTTGTCTATGGGCAGTCAGCACTTTTCCAGCCGGCGCTGGAGACAGATCACATACAAAGCAGGGGAGGTCAAGGCCGCGCTAACGCTGGCCAGAGTGGACCTTTAATTATCCCTGCTGATAGTGCTTTGTGTATTCTCTTTCTTTCTTTCTTTAGAGCATATAATGTAAAAAATACCGTAAGAGAGACCAAACGATTGCTTTCATTTGAGTTGAAAACATAAAGATGTGACTTAAGCTGAATTTTCTCTACTCTGTCCTCGCCTCTTTTCCTCATCTTTGTCCCCTCTTCATGCACCTCCTCCTCAACCGCTCTCTCACCGCGTCCTTCCTTCTCCGACTCTTCTTCACACCATCCTCTTCCTCCTCTGTCCCCTCGCAGGTTCGCTGCGATCCAGGCCTGTGAGCAGCAGCTGCTCCAGTTCCGCGGACTCTCTGGCTCCCTCTCCAGGTGGCTTCAGACGGGGCAGGACCAGCTGCCGTCCAAAGAGGCCAACCTCAACACAGAGGGCCTGCAGAGGAGAGTCCAGCAGCTCACGGTGGGTCTTGAAACAAAAGCTTTGCACCTGCCGCGTTTTAACATGAGGAAAAGGGAAACATTTAGGGAACACGCTGTTTTAATTCACTTACTATATAATGTGCTCTCAAAGCACCACGACTCAGCAAAATGCATTTTGCCTCCAGGACTTGTTGAATGACTGGGAGTCTCAGGGATCACGGGTTCAGGAGCTGAACAAGACGGGCTCAGAGCTGGAGACCCTCATCATCGACGTCACCGCTCCTCAGGCCAAAATGGGTAAGAGACGCAGCCAAACCCGCCCTCAGTTTAAACCACTTATTTTCCTCATGAGAGCATTTTGGAAGTGATTTGAGATTCAAAGATGATGTAGGCGGGTGGAAAAAGTCACCAAGAGGTTATGAAATGATTTGACCCGCGAGCAACATAGAAAATTAAAAACTGAGGATGAACGCGTGGGCAGCATAAGTCTATAATTAGTAACCACTACCACTTTTTTCTAGTAAATGTTTAATCTAGACATTATTCCCTGGTTTTGTAATTAATTTTTTTATTTTATTTTTTACCTACATTGACCCCATCACAACGTTGCAGCTGTGGAGGTCGTACAGAACTTAAATTGTGTCCGAATTTCTGAACACGTCACTGGCCCTGTTTTGTGTCTGACCATTGCTTGTGCGAGTGTATGTTGTGGTGCCACAGTCTCAGTCAGGTGTGTGTCTCTCTCCCAGGTGCTCCTCACATCAATGGCTCATCAGGTCCCAGCAGTGTCAATGGCATTCACACCTGTAAAGGTGAGCTCTAGCTCTCTCTCTCTCTCTCTCTCTCTCTCTCTACTTATTTATTGCCTCCTGAAAACGAGTCTCTAACATAAACCTGATTGAATAATTCTCCAGTTATATTGGTGTTGATGGTTTCTGGTCACTTTGAGAGATTACTGATGTGTTTCACTGTTTCCAGTGTCCTATACTGTCCCGTCTCTGTCAACTGTATGTCCGTGCAAAACATGTCAGTGGCAAATTTGTTGAATTTAAAAAACATATTTTAACATCAGGATCTGCCGGACTTCCTTTATCTGGGCTGCCTAACCTTACTGGATTATATTTCTGTTGACTTTACTTAACTTGCTTTACTTACCTGTTTTTATTTTATTTTCTGAATCCGCCCCGCCTGCTAATCTCTCTCCCTATTCGGTAATCACCCAGCAGTTTCTCTCCGTCCTCTTCCTGTGCCCTCAGACCTGACGGAGCTCCAGGTAGCCGTGTCCGATGTGAACGGTCAATATGAGACGCTGGGCGGGGAGCTGAAGGAGCGCCTCGGTTGCCAGAAGACCTCGCTGGAGCTGAGGCAGAAGGCCAGTCAGGGCACCGACGAGCTCAAGAGCTGGCTGACGGACAGAGAGCACAGCCTGAAGCAGGGACAGACCGCCTCCCCCTCCAAGCCTGAGGCGGTACGCGCCCAGGCCCAGGAAAACAAGGTAGAGGACCGGGTCCATCTCCAGGGCCTGTTTTATGACCCTTCCTACATGAGCACTGGTCACCTTTCTACCCATTTTCAGTTTTTATAGTACCCACATTGACACAAGCATATCTGCTGATATCTAAATTCACAGATCAAAACGCTCACGTTTTCATGAACCAATTAGGGCTCAAACCTCGACTGTGTGCCGTGGCTCAAATTCCAGTGAGCTGGAACGAGCTAGAAACATGAACCTCGGCCCAATAACTGGGAATTATGTGCAGGAAATATGACTCTAATTAGCCACATGATGGCGCTGTGAAAAATGTGATTTTTGGAAAGGCCACGCCCCTCACACAAGTCTGACCGACTTAAAATTTGGTACAAATTTCCAGGTCAGTGTGCTCCACAGAAAAGCCTCTTTGACCTTTTGAAAAGACTGAAGAACATATTTTGGACATTTCCTCCTAAACCGAGAGTCCGATTGCTACCAAATGTCCCTCAGATCATTATTGGACCAAGCTCATTATAGGTTGTGTAAAGTTTGTTTATCTCATTGTGATTTCAAGACACTGACCAATGAAATTCAAAAGGGTGTGGCTCAACACATTCATAGCTCAAACTCCACAAGCGTTGGTCCAATCATCACAAAACTGGCAGGATATGTTTCAATAAGCACCTGAAACATACTCTGATCATTTCATTCAAATGGGCCACTAGGGAGCGCTACTGGGACTACAGATGAAAAATAGCCTTTTGGCTAACTCTGGCACATTTGCAGAAATGTTTTTATTAATGTGCACTGTCCCGTTCAAATAAACCAATAAATAAAAATACTAAAGGCAGAAAATGGGCGGGGCATAGCACAAATCAGAGTAAATTGGAAATTTTTGGTCCAATCATCAGGAAACTTACAGGATATGTTTCCTGACAATGTTGGACCATGTGTGTAAAACAATTTTGAAATCGCTCAATAGGGGACGCCAAAACATGTGCATGTACCTGGTGCTTATTTGGCCATAAATCAGTCAGTTATTTTAAACATCACCAAAGTTGGTGAATGTTTTTAATTAAGCTGTCTAAACGTATCCCCAAAATGCTTTCCAAGAAATATGACTGGCGGGACTTTGAGAGTGTAATTAATGAAAGACTGCAAATACTGTAATGATGAAACCAGTGTGTGATTGGTCTCACTCCTTCTTTAGACAGAATGAAACCAGTTGACGTGACTTCGCTCAGCTTTGTGAAGCCTGAAAACAGCTCGCGGCTACATTTTGTTTTGTGCTTCTCTTGTTGAGGTATATTTAAGTTGTTTTAAGTTCATGTCATGCTCTTTCTCCTTAAGGTCCTGCTTTCAGAGCTGGCAGAGCACTCTGGGAAGGTGGAGGAGCTGAAGAGCACGCTGAGGAAGCTGATTGCTGACAATCCTGATTCTCCTGAGGCAGACACCTGGAGACAGCAGCTGCAAGATATTGGTAGGTGCTGCAGATGACAAAAATACATGAGGACATATGACAAGATGATGAGACAGCCATTTTCAAGATACTAGATAGATGACAGCTCTGTCTCAGATCATGCAGGTTCCAAAAGGCAAAAACTGAAGTAGTAAAGGCTTAAAACTGAGAAACAAAGGAAACAAGTAGGCGCTGTTACTGTGGCGTGTTGCTGAAAACCGTTAAAAACAAAGTGGCACTGTGCCTCAGCATTTGTAATCGTTCTTTCTAAGAGATGGCGAGGAGCTGAGATCAATATTATCCAGGGAGAGAGTGGGAAGTGTTCCAGCTATTTGTTCACTCGCATACTTGATATTTTTACTAGGGCCTCCTATGAGGTAACCAAGATAGAAATATTTAATATGAAATCGAAGAAGGGGGCCTTCATATTTCATATTTTATAATGCCTTTTCAGAGCCACGTGGACTGAATGCGCGCACACACCTACACACACACACACAAGCACTGAAGGATGCTCAGAACATGAGTTGGAGAGACAGAGAGGAGTAGGAGGAGGGACAAAGGACAAAGATTGTTTTGTTAGATTTTTTCCACTGTGCTGTAATAGGACTTTAAAGGTGCATTGTGTAATACTTGGCCACATGCTCCAAACAAATACGTGGCACAGAATGGACGCTACAGCGACTCACTGTCGCCTCCTTTGGTACAAGTGGTATTACAAGACGGGACGGGTCGGACACATTGCACCTTTTAATGTTGGACAACTTCAAAAGAAAAGGAAGGACACGAGACGTTAACTTGTAACAATGAATACGCTTCATGACGACCTGCTTCCAAAAACATATACACGCATTCATCAACATTTTGCGTTTCCCCCACTCACCAATACACCTCTATTGGTCATATTCCTCCAGACTCCCGCTGGCAGACAGCCAATCAGACCGCGGCCCAGAGGCAGACGGAGCTGGAGACGTGTGCCGACAGGCTGGGCAGCTTTGCCTCGGCGGCGGCCCAGCTGGGCCCGTGGCTGAGGGAGAAGGAGCTGATGATGAGCGTGCTGGGGCCGCTGAGCATCGACCCCAACATGCTCAACACGCAGAAACAACAAGCACAGGTATGTGAGCGGAGACAGACGCTACAGAAAATCCATCATGAGGAGAAATACATGAAAAGAAAACCATAGAATAATGAAAACAGCTACTATGTATTAATAGTTTCTTGCACTGTAAATACAAATATCTACACTTTCCATTAATTTATTAGATCATATGTCTCTTATTTTGACACTTAAATCCACTTAAGTCATGGAGGCAAGCTGACTATGAGGATAACAACGTATTTTAAGGCTTGGCATATTTAAGACAACATGGTACAATTTCAATTCCAAATCACATTATAATATTTAAGATATTCCATTATGCTGTGTTCGCACCAAACGCATCGCAACCTTTTTCAAGCAACTACATTACATACAAAGTCAATGCAACGAAGTGATTGGATATTTCACTTTGCGTTTGGTGTGAATGCAGCATTAGTCTGTCAATGCAATTCTATTTTTTTTTAATGAAACCCGATATTTAAGTTCCTGATTAACCGAATAATCTTCTTTCTTCAAGTTCATGCTGCGAGAGTTCGAGACCAGGCGGCCACAGTTTGAGCAGCTGACCCAGTCCGCCGAGGGGATCCTCTCCCAGACCGACGACTCTGCTCAGGACCCCAAGGACCTGGCGGAGGTGCGATCCGAGCTGGGCTCTATCACCCAGCAGTGGGAGGACCTCACAAACCGACTGACCCAGAGATCGAACCACATCGACCAGGCCCAAGGAACCAGCGGGCAGTACCAGGTGAGTCTACTGTAGTCTAGATTGGTTGTATGTCGTCGCGTTAAACCGTCACCATGACGGTGTCATCTTCTAACCCTCCTCTTCCTCCTCTGGCTCAGGCCTTGCTCCGAGAGCTCTCCTCCAGCGTTTCTGCTCTGGCTGAGAGGCTGGACGGTCAGGCCTCGCTCAGCGCCCAACCCGAGGCGCTGAAACGGCGCCTACAGGAAACCGGAGAGATCCGCTCGGAGCTGGAGAGACGGCGCACCGAGCTGGCCGAGGCCGAGCGGCTCTGCAGCGAGCTGAGCACCATCGTGGCCGAACCATACCTGAAGGAAGAGCTGAGTAAACGACTGGAGAGTGTCAGCGGGCCGCTGAAGAACTTGGAGGAGCGCGCAGGTTTGTGGACTTTATGTGGTTGATGTATAGTAAGTGTGCAAAATGAGGGCTCTGGTATATTTGTGCTTGATTTATATGCCAATAGTGTTTTCTCCAGAGAGATGATGGTTCACCTTGATGAATTAAGGTTTGATGTAGTCGAACAATATTCCGTTTCAAATGTAATCCCTGTAATGGGAATATTGTTTGGATTACAAGTACACAACGAGCAAGTCCGCTGAGATAAATATTACACAAACTCCCTAAGTCCTATTTGTTTGAACTAGTTTTTCAGTGTTTACGTTTGTAATCCCTCATGCTTTTCTCTCTCTTCTAGCCGACGGCCTGTCTCAGCTCCAGGCCGCCCTGTCGTCCACCCAGCAATTCCAGCAGATGTTTGAGGAGTTACGCTCCTGGCTCGACAAGCGGGCCGATCCCAGAGAGTCCCCAAGCGACTCTCTGCCCTGTCAGCCGGAGGCCATCCGCTCCCTGCTCGCGCAGACAGACGACCTCCAGCGCGCGGTCGCCAGCCAGCGAGGTTCCTACGAGCTGATTCAAGCCGAGGGGGCGTCGCTGCTCGCCACCCTCCCCGCGGGCGGAGACGAGCGGTCCGCCCTGCAGTCCCGCCTTGCCGCCCTGAAGCAGGACTGGGAGGGGCTGAACCAGGGGATCTCGGAGCGAGAGAGCAGGTTGAAGACCACGCTGAGCAAAGCGGAAGCCTACCAGCAGCTCAAGGCCGAGCTCATACCGTGGTTAGCGGAGTGCGACCAGAAAGACGGGGAGATCCAGCCATCGCTGAACTCTGCGGCCCTGGACGAAGCCTTGCAGAAGGCCCGGGGTCTGGCACTGGACCTCGAAAGACGACAACCTCTTCTCCAGACCTTCAATACTGCAGCAGATCAGCTGCTGGAACAATGCTGCATCGGGGAGGAGGAGGTATGCAGTTTTCAGACTTTCTACTCTCAGTAAATATTTTTTATATTATTTTTATGCTTGTGGAATTATATGTATATATTTTTTAAAAACCTAACTGGTTTTCTGCAGGTACGAGATGAGAAGGCCCAGCTGAACCGCAGAGTGGACGGACTGGGCGAGACGCTCCACAACCGCACCTCCCAGCTGGAGGAGCTAGCGGGCCGCCTGAAGGAGTTTGAAGAGGGCCGGCAGGCTGCAGAGAGGAGACTGGAAGCCGCCAAGCACCAGATTGAAGTCCAGGAGGCTCTGGGACCACAGGTGCTGTAAAACATTGTCCTCGTGTCACTTTTATTGTACTTTCAAAAAAGAAGTCGATGGCAATTCATGTTTACCTCTCTCCCCTTCAGGCATGCAGTGCTAAGAGCCTGGAGCGGCTGAGAAGTCAACAGGAGAGTCTGAGGTCCCTGCAGCCTCAGGTGGTCTACCTCAGAGACCTGGCACAGGGGCTGGTACAGGACGCCCCCCAGACGCTGGGAGGCAGCACCAAGGGGGCACAGAGGCTTCAGGAGCAGGCCAGAGACACAGAGAGAGAGTATGATGGCGTAACTGACAAGGTGAGGAGCATTTTTCTATTTACTGTTGGAAAGTACTGCAGGGGTCCTTCCAAAGGTCCGTACTGTTGCATGCAGTGTGCATTCAACAGGGACATACTACGACTTGACCTTTGACCCTCCCGCTTATATAAAGGGCTTCAGGAATGAGTCCAAAAAACATGAAATGCTTTTTTTGTACATCCAGTTTCCTCGTCTCAAAGTCGATGGGTATTTTAATGGCTTTTTGGTTTGACGCCTAAAATAAGGTCTGTGGTGAACACAAGCTGAAGAGATTTCAACGTTTTGTTCTCCAATGTAAAACACCCCTCTCACCAATCTTGACGCTTTTAAGTGTCTTAAAGAAGATTCTCTTGCTGAAGTATCACTTATTTTCTGCAATAATTTAACAGAAAAAATCCCATTGGCTGTTGGTCGAGGGTTGACTTAAAAGCAATACGTCATCCCTGCATCTCTCTACGTCCAGCAGCCTCTGTCGATGAGCTGCCATCAGGCTGTCAAATGTCTGCGCACTCTAGGCGGCACAGTCGATGTGGCGCGGCACAGTCGATGTGGCACGTCCTCTGCTGCGCAATGGATTGTGGGTCAGAATAGTCAGAAAAGTATGCCGGCTTGCATACTGCAAAATGCACCGGCTGCAGAAGGACATCTTAGTTTTTTTTTGTCATTTGACACACAAAATATTTTTTCTGGCATACTAAATAGTGTGGTAAGGTTGGACACTTTAAAACAAAATCAAAAAAAAGAGTAAATGCTGAAGGCTGTTTGGCCACATGTTCTTAGGGGCTCAGCAGACAAGTGTCGTAGAGCTGAGGGAACGCAGAACAACCGTAGCTGACAGAAGCTACGGTTGACAGAAGCTTTCAGCCATTTGAGTTACAGTCGTCATATATGGTCATTGTGGACGTTCAACACTTTATCACAGTTTGAAATGTAAACCAGAGCTTTGTGAATTCAGCACCCACAGCGCCGCATCTATTTTCTGCAATCCAGCTCCGAGATATTCCATTTAAGGTTACAACCATCACAGGAACTGTCACTTTCACTGTCTATAAAAACTACTGGACGACTCATTCACTGAGATGTTTCTGTTTCTTTTTTTTTAAATATTGATTGGATGTTGTTGCTGCAGAGATGATGCAGATCACCCTCCTCTTAGACAATGCTTCTACTGTCTCTTTCTTGCACATTAGACCATCTTTTTCTGCTTGCTGTTGTGTTGCAGCATCTTCTGATTGGTCACACGTTACTCTGTTCCGGTGATTTGCTCTGTTCACACAGGCTCCTCTGTGTTTGATTAGTTGACCACTGTCCTCCTTTCATTCTAAATGTCTGCTTTCTTTGGCCACTCGACAACCGTGACTTGACGTGTGACATATTGCGACTTCATTCAACAAAAATGTTTCCTAAAAAAAGTGAAAAGTGGACCTGCTCAGTCATGATTTCAGATTTGATACCTTTGTTTTTCTTAAAGTTTTTTTCTTTTCGATTCGGTCCGACACCTTGAATAAAAATGATTCGACGCCTTTCAGCTGGAAAGCAGAGGTTTCATTTTGTGAATTCTTTTGATGCACTTTATGATGATGCACACATTTAACTTGGCTTTTCCCTCCACCTCTCTCGCTCTCTTTCCTCTGTCAGATCGAGCATTGCTGCTCCTCCCTGGAGTCCCGGCTGCAGGGCGTCGGCGAGGTTCAGTCCCACGTACGCGACGTGTTCTCGCGCATCGCAGACCTCGATGACGAGCTGGACTCCCTCAGCCCCGTCGGACGCGACGCGGACTCCCTGGCCTCTCAGGCCGACGCCCTGAAGGGCTTCCTGTCCCGTCTGGCCGACCTCAGGGCGGAGCTGGACGGTCACACGTCGGACTGCACCACCATGCTGCGGCGGGAAGGCTCCTCCCCCGACCTCCTGGCTCTCAGGAGGGAGTCGGAGGCTCTGAGCCGCCAGGCGGGCAAGGTGAGGGTGGAGGAAGACGATGATGATGGCGGTGGCATCATTCATGTGATGTAAAAGTTAAATCAGTTTCATCTCGTTACGAGTTCCTTTATTTCTGTACTTTGTTCTCCAGCTGAGCGAGCGCGGCCAGGCCAGGTTGGACCAGATCGAGGATGCGGCTGAGAGGGTCCGGGAGTTCTACAGGCTGGTGGGCGAGCTGCAAGGCCTACTGGGAAGGGCTGAAGACGGGCTGAACTCTCAGGGCATGGTCGGCACAGAGGTGGAGATGATCAAACAGCAGCTGCAGGAGTTTAAGGTAGGGTGGACTTCTTCTTGCTGGTTATTTATACGGGTGTGAATGTGGTGCATATGGATATGAGTGTGTGAAGCGGCAGTATGTCAATGAGGTCCCGTAGAAGAAGATATCACTGTGCGTTCGTTGATGGTCAGAGAATCTGATTGAAATCTGAAGTCCCTCTTTCCGAATGATTCCGATTGGATTGGTTTTCCTGTGGTATGTTCTGCAGCACACATGTGAGTAGTGTGTACGAGTACACGTGTGTTCTCATTGGCTGAGGCAGCCATAATATCCGCTTCATTGTGACATGAGTCTCTAACTGAATTGAGGGGGTGAAAAGGTTGTACGTGCTTGTGTGCACATTCTCCTCTTTTCCCATCATGCCACTGAATGTTACTTGCTCAGATGAACAGAAAACTCTCAGTGTAACATGTGTTCTCTGTGTGTGCGTCCTGAATAGTTGCATTCAATATTTGTGATGTGTCTACCATCCTCTTCTCTTGCTCATAACTCTAGAGACCATGAGGTAATTGTGTGTGTGTGTGTGTGTGTGTGTGTGTGTGTGTGTGTGTGAGAGAGAGAGATATATATTAAGTTGTCCTCTTCTTTTAAAGCAGCAAAGTGGACGTAAACACATCAGTGCTAGAAAGGCCATGTTTACGGACTCATCTGAACATAAATATAATTGCATGTATTGTTATGCTTCACATAAATTCCGTCTTGTGATATTTAAGCATGAAGATTTAAACGGCTGTAGATTGTTTCCCCATGTAGACGTGCATCGTAGCCGACCTCAGGAATGCGCTTTGCTGGCACCTCCATTGTATTTCATTGCTGGCTTTACGGGCACAGACCTCTCTTTCAGTCTTGACTACTGTCATTAAAGAGCCATGATGTAACATCCTGTCCACTTTAGAAAACCAATCCCCACGCACAACCGGCACACCAGAAGGTCCTGTTCTTTCCTTTCAAACGATCGATGAGTCATTTGATAGGACAGCTAATAGTTTACACGCCTTTGAAAAATGTAGCAGGATTCTGCTCGTCCTGTGGACGGTTATCGGCTCCACTGTTGAGATGTGTGGGTGGATCAAAGGATGTGCTGCTTTCCATTCCGTGAGATCATTTTTTCTCCCGGTTCTCTTCAGCCTCATCTCCTTTTTTCCTCTTGTCTTAATTTGATTATTTGGATATTGAGGGAAACCTCTTCATTGCCTTTACATCTCTTTCTTGACCTACTAACCCCTCTGCTTGTTTCTTCTTCATCATTGCAGTCATCTGTTTCTGGTCCCCCCCCGGCGGTGCCTTAATGAGAGCAAGCCGGGTAATTGTGTGGCAGAGAACAAACAGACGAGAGATAAAGAGGTGTTGGAGGGGGGGGGGGGGGGGAGAGAGAGAATATGAAGCAGTATATATATGTGTGTGTATTTTGTCTGGTGGACAGTTCAATGAATCGAGCAGGTTTACAGGTACACTAACAATCTGCTTTAAGAAATATATCAGTCAACACGTTGACATGATTCTAAGGGACAATTCATATGTATTTTCCAGGATATAAACCACTTCATATGGAACAATTGTAATATCAAACCAAAGGAAATCTTTAAGAAGCGGCTTCTTCAGTTTTCTTTCTGATCCCTGCATTGATTTTAGAGTAATTAGCGTTTTGGACAAGAATCCGTGGCATCTTAAATTATTCAATAAATAAACCTAAGAAAACTAGAGGAACCTGAACAGATACAGAGAGATAAAAGGGAATATAACTGGTGGCTTGGCCTGCAGAAAAGAAATAACTATCTTTCTTTAGTAATTCAATAACTCATCAGTGTTGGGAGCAAACTGTTTTTTTGACTGCCGTGAAAATGTTGTTTTTGAAAGCCTAAATGCCAACTAATGAGGATAATATTATTACAATATTTTGTTCGATAAAAACATATATATATTTTTTTTCTTCAATAAACTTTGACTTGAATTGGAAATGTTTGGATCACACGAGTCTGCATTACGAATGAAGCTTCAAAGCTCGAACTATTCACTACATCCTTTCAGTTGAGTTTTATTTTCATGCATGATTAAAAGTTGCAAATAAAAGAATAATAAAAGAAGGCATTACTGAGCCCAGACAGAATAAGATGATATGTAGGTGTTAATCATGTTATCCTTGCACTGATTAACATTTTCCTCCATTAACGCTGTGAAGACTAGCTCACAGAGGAGCGGGCAGACTGTGGGAGGGGTAGAATGTTCAGTAGCGGCTGTCTGCGGAGTATATAGAGCATGGAGAAATGGTCTGTCTCTCTACCTGGGGGGTTAGAGGGATATTTATAGGAGGACAACACAGGGAAGGGGGCATATTGTTGAGAATGATACAGAAAAATACGAGTCAAAGGGAGAGAACGACGGCAGGTCGTCATGGAGAGCAGGATGCTCGGAGAAAGATTAGGAAATAATGGGAAAGAGAGGAGACAGTGAGGGCCTCTGTCCTCTATCTCACCCTTTTGTTACTATATCATTTGTATCTTCTCTCCATATCATAGCACATATGTGCCTCTGTCCTAAAAAAGCTGTGAATATCTCTTTGGTCCACTCTTTGAAACCCCGCCTCCTGTCCTGCTTTGTTTCCACCTCTCTCTACCTTCTACCCCCCCTCTCTCTCTTTTTCTGTAACCGATCCAGCTCGGGCTCATTTTCAAACCTAAACATGTCTGTCTGGCTCCAAAACAGACCAGGCCACCCTCTCTCCTCCCCCCTCCCCCACCAGACCCCATTCCCAATCCAGAGGGATGATGTCATGCCGATGCTTAGAAAGACGAGGGGGCTCGGGACTTGGGGGGGGGGGGGGGTGGGGTGGGGGGGTGTGGGGGGGGGGGGGGTATGGGCGGATGTTAGCCATGGAATAAGGGGTCATGGGAGTGGGAGGTGATGTAGTCAGATTATTGTTTAAACCTTCCAACGGTGATCTCAGAGAATTACTGGATCAACGAGAGAGAGAGGCGGTGAAAGAGTCTTCCTCAGTCTGCTTCTTCTTTATAAGCATTCCTGTCAGAAATAAGCATTAGTTCATAAAACAATACGTATATCTAAATAAAACCTTTTGGGTATAAAACCTCAATTAGTTTTTGGCACCAACCGGAAAGCCTTTCTAATGCTTCTAGTTGAAAGCTGTTTACTTATTCATTTCTTTTCCTGAGTTGAACTATTTTATTTAAAGGGCCACCGTGTCGGATTTGGCAGCAACTAGCGGCGAGGTAGCAGATTGCAACCAACTGAGACGTCGGAGTCCGACCATGCGGCAACCTCCGGTTCTGCCGAGTGAAGCCGATGTGAAAGTGTCTTTAACTTGCATTCTCTCTAGTGTCCACCAGGGGGCGACTCCTCTGATTGTATAGAAGTCTATGACAAAATGACTCTACTTCTCTCGATTTATTACCTCAGTAAACATGAGTTTATGGTCTCAATCTCTAGTTTCAAGTCTTCTTTAATACAGCATGATGTTCATTTAGTACATTATGGTCCATTTAGAGTCAAACAGACCATAAAGCAGAGTATTGCTTTATGGTCTTTATTGCTTGGCTTACTGTGATTGACAGGTCGCTGCCGCTACCAGAGCTGTATCCTGCGTCTCGACGGCACTCTTCCGCATTCCAAATATGGTCTTGTCATATGTGCTACTGTGGAATCTGTTTGTATTTAGGGTTGATCTGCGGGCCGTGGAGAGGTGTGTGTGTGTGTGTGTGTGTGTGTGTGTGCACCCTGCATAACAGGATGCCTCTGATTCCAGTCTTTTTTGGGGTGCAATCTAGAATCTCAGCTGTCTCCTCACCCCACCCTCACACACAAATACACACACACACACATTAAGGTGTGGCATCAACATCCCCCTGCATGCCCCTGGCTCCCTCCGTCCCTAAGCAGCTGACATAGTCTCGGCGTGGGATGAGAACACGCATACACACACGCGTGCTAGTGTTGTAGCAGAGGGGGGCTATGAGGCTCTAAACCCGAAGCTGCAGATGGACATTCCTGTGAAGGGCTGGTTAGTCTGGGTGACAGCAGAACAGGAGGCCCGAGTGTGTCTTCGTGCACACACATTTGTGTAAATCACGACCGCCCGCCTCCTGCTGTCTTCACCCCCCCCCCCCCCTACCTACCTCTCTCACACCTTTCACCTCCTCCTCTCCTATCGTATTATCCTCCGATAGTCTCCACCTCACCATCCCGTAGTCTTCCCTCCTCTGTGAGCCCGTGACTCACTGTCCTTCCCCCCACCGACTGTGTCAGCAGTTATTTAATGATGGGAGTCAAGCAGCGCACTGGTCGTCTCTGGGTCCACGCTGTGCCGCTGGAACGTGTCCTAATTCTCACCTATAGAGCTGCTTACGCATTTAAATCTTAATAATTAGAAGTTAGGAAGACAAAACGACATTTTGGTGGTATAGCTTGTCTAGAAAACACTGTTGCTTATCAAATCATTTTTTTAAACAAACTCATGTAATGTAGCCCACATTGTGTTGAGTCCGAGACGCTCAGCCATATTTCTGCTCAGGTCTGGAAATCATGAATCATTAGAGACGGGGTCACACTGCATGTCCATCTGGTATGTTAATGCACCAGAGTCTAAATGAAAAGGTTTCATCTAAGACACATTTAATGTTGATGAAAACCCGTCAATGTTCCAGCTGCTGTGGTTTTATGGGCCTTCTGCTTCACGGGAATCTGCTCTGCACTTCTCGTACTGAATATGTAGATATGTGTATGAACTTTCTCCGAACCACATGATGAAACTGACCACTAGGACACGTGTGAAACAAAAATAAAAACGGTCGGAGCAAGTTCAGTTTTTTTTACACCGTTCATTCAGACCGTACCGAATGGGGTCCAGGTCGACCCGTTTTCCGCCGTTAGCAGCCATGTTGGCTTCCCTAAGTCAGCGGCAGTCAGGAGAGTTCAGTGTGTCAGAACCCAGTAACCCTCCCATGACTCCCCTGCTAATCCAAGTCCTACGTCATCTGGAACGG